AGAGAGAGAGAGAGAGAGAGAGAGATTGTTCTTTTATGTATTGATCGTTTGCAGAATAGGGCTGCAGATCGACTAGCCTATTTGTCAAGAGCGGAGCGTCGAACCGAGTTGTGGTTGTCGGACGCCCCTGGTGCTCTGATTAGCCTTCTGGCTACCGATTGTAATCCTATCAGTAACTAAATAAAGCTCCCTTTTTCACCGCAAAAAAACAATGCTGCAGACAATGGCAAGCCAAAAAAACAAAAGACTATAATCTATTTGAAGTTGGTCATAATCACTGTTTTGGTTACCGGTCGAAATTTCAAGATTTCCCATGGTTACCGCGTATTTCCGTGCCCCTCGGTAAATCACCATACCGAGCAAAAAATATCATTTTTCTTGAATTTTTTGAATTTAAACGCTCGATTTACTGTAAAGTACGTAGGATCTAATTAATGCCATGAGAGTTGGTTCTAGCGTGTTGGTAGCAACCTAGTTCCTGTTTTGAGAGGTCTCTAGTTCGAATATTCGTTCATTCACTTATTTGAATTCAAAATTCAACTACAAAATTTGCTCGAAATATTCTCGGTATTTCGCGGTAACCGTGGTAACCACATTTATCTGTCCCCCTCGATAAAATTGCCTCATTCGGTAACCAAAACCTTGGTCATAATACAGAACTTGAAATATGTATATGTTGATCATGCGTATTGCTCAGAACAAGAAACAATACCGGATAAGGACTTACTCATCTATATCATCATCATGTGTAGATCATCCGCTGTTTGCATACTGCACCTGCATCTTCTTTTGACCAAGCACCCAAATTACTTTCACTGCCGAACACAACAATCAGTGACATGACAAATTTACCAAAACATCATAACGAGCAAAGAAATCCATGCAGCATCAAGATCCAGGTGAGATGAGCACAATGCGGACGGATCAAATTGACATGGTAAAGACTTAATGGAAGGCGAAACAGTTCAGCTTTCAGATTCCGTTCAGCAAGAACCCCGGATCGATAAGCGATACTACCGACAACGACAACCATGAACCATTACATACAGGACGCAACTCGGCAACACGACAGGCTCCCTCCGATCCAATGCAGCGTGTGCTAGCTACTCCTCATCGGCAGCGGCGGTCTCCTCGGCGGCGGTGGTCTCCTCGGCAGACTTCTTTGTGGACTTGGGGGCGTCCTTCCACTTCTTGGTCGGCTTGGAATCCTTGTCAGCCTTCTCGGCGGTCTTCTTCGGGAGCAGCACGGGGTTGATGTTGGGCAGCACGCCGCCGTGGGCGATGGTGACGCCGGCGAGCAGCTTGCCGATCTCCTCGTCGTTGCGGATCGCGAGCAGCAGGTGGCGAGGGGTGATGCGCGTCTTCTTGTTATCCACGGCCGCGTTGCCGGCCAGCTCCAGGACCTGCAGACGCCCAACCAAAAACGAAATCGGCCATCTGGTGAGGCGAGCACGAGAAGAACAGGGCGGGAGCCGGACAAGGCAGACGCTCGAGGACGGGGAAGATCGACCGCGCTTACCTCGGCGGCGAGGTACTCGAGGACGGCGGCGAGATAGACGGGGGCGCCCTTCCCGATGCGCTGCGCATAGCGGCCCTGCTTGAGGTAGCGCCCGATGCGGCCGACCGGGAACTGGAGCCCGGCCTTGACGGATCGCGTCACGGCCTTCTTCCTCTGGCCCTTCCACCCGGCCATCTTCCCCTCCTTCTCTCCGGCGACGTGGGCAGGAGGGTTTGGCGGCGGCGGCGGCGGCTGGATCAGATTGCGCTCGCTGCTTCGATTTGGTGGATTGGATGGGCGGCGAGGGGCGCGGGTTTTATAGGCTGGGCGCGATCTGTGGGAGGGTCTAATCCACCAATCAGAACGCACGGATATTTCCTCTTTTCTTCTTTCCTCTTTTCACCGTTTTTTGCCGTGGGAAACAAACGGAATTCGAAATTTGGGGAACCGGGACAAAGGATAAACATAGAGGGGTGGGTCGTACTATTCATTTACAGCTTGTTTGGCACTTTCGATCTCATTTCATTTGCTTGCAAATGAAATGAACTGAAACGCCATTTCTGTAAACCTCCTTTGGCACCCAGCTAGGTTTTCATTTTAATTGGTGGAAATGGATGAAAACTCATTCTTACGAGGATTTCATTTGGTGGGATTTTGACTGCACTTCAAATTTTCTTGTCTGACTATCATGCGATTTGTGTAATGCATGTCATATGTTGTTTGGCTGCTATTTTGAATTGTAACCATAAATGATCAGCATGCACATCTCAATATGTACATTCAACACATTTACAATATAAAGAGGATAATCAACCAAAAAAAAACAATTTTGCATTTTTTTCAACTATCAAGATCAAAAAGATCTGGCCGCATCATCTTCACACATTCAAATATGTCAAACATAATCATATAAAATGCAGATCGGAATAGTGACAAGATCTCTGAAAGACCATTAAAGGGTTAAACTTGCGTTCATCGAAAACCAGTATCTTCAAAGGTTCATAGTTTGTATTAAGCATGGTATGGATTAGGGAGGATAAAAGACTAAAACTTGCCATTCCAGATGCATTAGGAAAAAAATATATGTTTGGATCCAAAGAAGAGGCTTGAACTTGCAAGTGGATCTTGGTTTGAACTTGGTTCGTATTTGTTACCCTGCAAACATCATAGCAAGCATGTAAGCAAACTAACTAAAGTAGTTATAAAATATAAAGCTTCTAAAACACCATCTTAATTTAGTAATTGGCACAATTGGAAAGCCATATATTTTCTTCTATACAATAAGCTAAAATACACCAAGATCAGCAAAACCGACTTGATGTCTAAATACAAAATTCATGTCTTGCTGCACAGCTTACAAAGCCAAAAGTATAAGAGCTTGGTTCAAACAACCTACAAAGTTCATTTCTTGCAATAGGGGATTCGGGTACAGAAATAGCACTACTTTCAACCATGACTTTACAGAGCAAGGTGTAAGACCTTCTGATCGCTCACACAACACATCAACATATGGTTTGGATATGCCTTTCTGTTGTAGAAAGCACACATGTATTTCTCCTTGTTCTAGTAGTAACTGATCACTTCCAAAGTACTAGGAAAAAACCAACAAAATGGTGTCAAAATAGTGCAAAGGATAGTAATAATACTCTCTCAAGCCTGAACCCAATGCTTCCCAGAATGTCTGGAATAAAATAACACTTGCCAAATTTGAACCAGATAATGCAACAATTTAAGGTAATAGATTTTGAAACTGTGCAAAACCAGCTTTGGAGACGGAGGAGAATGTGGAGAAAACGGTGCTCGGGTTACGATGGAGCTGAGGGAAGGTGCCACGGGCAGCAGGCAGTAGTGACTGCGGGTTATGTGGCCGTCATCGAATTATCCTGAGAGGTGCGCTTGCTAGACTAAATTTAGTCCAAGGGGCTGGTTCTGAAGGGCTGGAAAGTTATAATTTGAAGGACTTACGTGTACAAGGAATCTACTAGCTATGGGTTAAAGCCCTAAACAATGTTATGGCCTCGAATATAGCCTTTAGGGGATCTGCTAGAGATGCTCTTAACTGAAAACCATACCGACATCTACAACACTAAATTAGTTGCATCAAGTTTATATAAAATATATTTCCCAAACGGTATATTGTAAATCTAAATAGCTTTGCCCACATCCTATGGGATGGCCGTTTTGGCTCGGGGTGAATATGCTCTCGGATAAACAGTAAATTCAAAATAAATAGTAAATGAAAATTAAAAATTTATGTTTTTTGTGTGAATGTTCTTTTTAGTGTAACACGTGTGCTTGACAATTTTCATGCGAAATGGGATGACAGTGTTTCGTCAATAAAAAAACAAAATTTGGAGGTAACATTTGGCGTTTGACTTGTTTTTTTTTTTGCACAAGTCAAAATGCTTAAGTTTTTTCACTAAAAATTCGCAGTTAGCATTTGAGTGTGACAATGAACCCATCTATCCTCTTTCAAACTTTTTGACATTTGCAAAATAATAATTTTGCTGCATAGGAGCATATGCTCCAAAGAGCCGAATTGGATTCCCGCTCATCCTATTTCCTATATAAATAGCTAGCCCCCCACCCCCAATAAAAAACTTATTTCTCTCAACATGTAAGCATGCCACCTCATCAAGTAACATGCATGATAAAAGGCACACCACAACATGCAATCATGCATAGAAAAATGTTCATCCCTAATGGCAGAGACATGAGGATGATAACCCACAAGTATAGGGGATCGCAACAATTTTTGAGTGTAGATTATTCTACGCAAATTATTGATTCGACACAATGGGAGCCAAAGAATATTCACGAGTATTAGCAGTTGAGTTGTCAATTCAACCACACCTGAAAGACTTAATATCTGTAGCAAATTTTTTTAGTAGCAAAGTAGTATGCAAGTAATGATAACGGTGGCAAAAGTAACACTAGCAGTTTTGTACTGACTGCAATAGTGGCAATGGCAAAGTAACTTAGCAAAGATCAATATGTGAAAAGCTCGTAGGCATTGGATTAGTGATGTATAATTATGTCGGATGGCATTCATCATGTAGCAGTTACAACCTAAAGCGACGCTCAACTAGCTCCAATTCATCAATATAATGTAGGCATGTATTCCGTATATAGTCATACGTGCTTATAGAAAAAAACTTGCATGACATCTTTTATCCTACCCTCCGTGGCAGCAGGGTCCATAAGGAAACTAAGGGTTATTAAGGCCTCCTTTTAATAGAGAATGGGAACAAAGCATTAGCACTTAGTGAATACATGAACTCCTCAAACTATGGTATCACCGGAAAGAATCCCAATTATTGTCACCTTGGGGTATGCGGATCATAACACGTAATAGGTGTCTAGAACTTGCAAAATAGGATCAAGAACTCATATATATTCATGAAAACATAATAGGTTCAGGTCTGAAATCATGGCACGCGGGCCCTAGTTACAAGCATTAAGGATAGCAAATTCATGGCAACATCAATCTCAGAACATAGTGGATACTGGGCATCAAACCCTAGCAAAACTAACTCGATTACATGATAAATCTAATCCAACCAATCACTGTCCAGCAAGCCTACGAAGGAATTACTCACTCCCGGTGGTGAGAATCATGGAATTGGCGATGGAGGAAAGTTTGGTGATGATGATGCCGACGTATCCCCCTCTTGATGAAGAACATGAGGATGCGGCGGCTCCGTCTTGTAAAACGTGATGAACTCTTTTCTCTGAGTTTTTTCTCCCCGAATAGGGTTATATGGAGTTGGAGCTGAGGTCGAAGGAGGTCCTGGGGCCCACAAGCCACTACTAGGAAAAGGCATGCTAGTGGCGCACCAGTTTTGCCTTCTAATGGCGCACCACTGGTGCGCCACTAGCATCACGCCATTAGAATTTTTTTCTAATGGCGCACCACCTGTGCGCCATTAGAATCTGGTGTTCTAATGGCGCACCACATAGTGCGTCATTAGTATTGCCCACAGTGCGCCATTAGACTGCCTCCCAGGGGGCCATATGTACCCATGTGCTTTGGCATACTAATGGCGCACCAATGGGTGATGCGCCATTAGTGTGATTATTACAGTGCGCCATTAGTGTCTTGTGTGGTGTGCCACTAGTATGAATATTAGGGATTTTTTTCTTTTCTGATATTTTCACAGGTTACAAAATATATTATTGGATAGAATTTAGACAACATCACACAGCAACAGCAGATTCATCGAATACAATAGAAGATTAGTCTCCGAATACAATTCATCATATTAGTCTTCGAATTCAAAAGACCGAACAAAGATAGAACATTACAAGTCTAGAGACCGCGAGTAGCGAGTTTGTCTTCACATTACAAGTCGATATCGATCATCTAAACTACCATCACATAGAAGAGAGCTGCGGTCATCACGATGAGCATCATCACGATGAAACTGGTCTTCATCCGGTTCCTCCAACGCTCCCTCCCCTCTCTCGCTAGATAGTGGGCATATCTAGATTCCGCCTCCGCCCTAGTGGTGTACCCTTTGTAACTGTTACCGCTGAAACGGTGAACCTGTCTCCGACACTCCTCCCAGTCGTCGTAGACTCCGGGAACCTTACCCTTGTACACGACATACGACCACATCTATATGCACAAGCCAAACAACAGACAATACATAAGCAATATATAAGTATGCAACAAAAGGATCGGAAGAGAAAAGCAAGACATTAATAGCATCGATTACATCTAAGTTGAACGACTGTCCAACCCACAGAGACATACAAGTTCATTAAAGTTTAATTACAACATGAGCCAATCAATGTTTCAGAACTACACATAGCATCACTACTGTCGACTCGACTCATGGGACCGGAGCGTGGATGAAGCCGCCGTCTGTCGTGATGGTCATGAAATCGCGGGCGTTATCATCCTGCATTTGTAGCGTTGTGTCTATCTCACTATTGGACGGTTGATGTCTGAGGTAGAACTGCCCCGAGGTACGAAGGACATCTTGATGGATAACTTCCGCAAACTCTGACTGGATGCGAAAGAATTCTTGTCTGATGTCTGCGTCCTGGATTGCCGATAAGCTCGCGGCCCAATCTTTGAGATTATCTGGTAGCAGAAGGTGATGATGGTCCCGTACGATCGCCCGCATGTGATGGAGGGCGTAGTAGGCATCCTTCTGACCGCCAGGTGGCTGCTTGACGCAGGAGAACTT